TGTAGTTCTAAAGATGATCTCATCTGTAGTTCTAACCATGATCTCATCTGTAGTTCTAACCATGATCTCATCTGTAGTTCTAACCATGATCTCATCTGTAGTTCTAAAGATGACCTCATCTGTAGTTCTAAAGATGACCTCATCTGTAGTTCTAAAGATGACCTCATCTGTAGTTCTAAAGATGACCTCATCTGTAGTTCTAACGATGACCTCATCTGTAGTTCTAACCATGATCTCACCTGTAGTTCTAACCATGATCTCATATGTAGTTCTAAAGATGACCTCATCTGTAGTTCTAAAGATGACCTCATCTGTAGTTCTAAAGATGATCTCATCTGTAGTTCTAAAGATGATCTCATCTGTAGTTCTAACCATGATCTCATCTGTAGTTCTAACCATGACCTCCCCTGTAGTTCTAACAATGACCTCCCCTGTAGTTCTAACGATGACCTCATCTGTAGTTCTAAAGATGATCTCATCTGTAGTTCTAACCATGACCTCATCTGTAGTTCTAAAGATGATCTCATCTGTAGTTCTAAAGATGATCTCATCTGTAGTTCTAACCTTGACCTCCCCTGTAGTTCTAACCATGACCTCCCCTGTAGTGCTAACCATGACCTCCCCTGTAGTTCTAACGATGACCTCATCTGTAGTTCTAACGATGACCTCATCTGTAGTTTTAAAGATGATCTCATCTGTAGTTCTAAAGATTATCTCATCTGTAGTTCTAAAGATGATCTCATCTGTAGTTCTAATCATAATCTCATCTGTAGTTCTAATCATGATCTCATCTGTAGTTCTAATCATAATCTCATCTGTAGTTCTAATCATGATCTCATCTGTAGTTCTAACCATGATCTCATCTGTAGTTCTAAAGATGACCTCATCTGTAGTTCTAAAGATGATCTCATCTGTAGTTCTAACGATGACCTCATCTGTAGTTCTAAAGATGACCTCATCTGTAGTTCTAACCATGATCTCATCTGTAGTTCTAACCATGATCTCATCTGTAGTTCTAAAGATGATCTCATCTGTAGTTCTAAAGATGATCTCACCTGTAGTTCTAAAGATGATCTCATCTGTAGTTCTAAAGATGATCTCATCTATAGTTCTAAAGATGATCTCATCTGTAGTTCTAAAGATGATCTCACCTGTAGTTCTAAAGATGACCTCATCTGTAGTTCTAAAGATGACCTCATCTATAGTTCTAAAGATGACCTCATCTGTAGTTCTAAAGATGACCTCATCTGTAGTTCTAAAGATGATCTCATCTGTAGTTCTAAAGATGACCTCATCTGTAGTTCTAAAGATGACCTCATCTGTAGTTCTAACCATGATCTCATCTGTAGTTCTAACCATGATCTCATCTGTAGTTCTAAAGATTACCTCATCTGTAGTTCTAAAGATGATATCATCTGTAGTTCTAACGATGACCTCATCTGTAGTTCTAAAGATGACCTCATCTGTAGTTCTAACCATGATCTCATCTGTAGTTCTAAAGATGATCTCATCTGTAGTTCTAACGATGACCTCATCTGTAGTTCTAAAGATGACCTCATCTGTAGTTCTAACCATGATCTCATCTGTAGTTCTAACCATGATCTCACCTGTAGTTCTAACCATGATCTCATCTGTAGTTCTAACGATGACCTCATCTGTAGTTCTAACCATGATCTCACCTGTAGTTCTAACCATGATCTCATATGTAGTTCTAAAGATGACCTCATCTGTAGTTCTAAAGATGACCTCATCTGTAGTTCTAAAGATGATCTCATCTGTAGTTCTAAAGATGATCTCATCTGTAGTTCTAACCATGATCTCATCTGTAGTTCTAACCATGACCTCCCCTGTAGTTCTAACAATGACCTCCCCTGTAGTTCTAACGATGACCTCATCTGTAGTTCTAAAGATGATCTCATCTGTAGTTCTAACCATGACCTCATCTGTAGTTCTAAAGATGATCTCATCTGTAGTTCTAAAGATGATCTCATCTGTAGTTCTAACCTTGACCTCCCCTGTAGTTCTAACCATGACCTCCCCTGTAGTGCTAACCATGACCTCCCCTGTAGTTCTAACGATGACCTCATCTGTAGTTCTAACGATGACCTCATCTGTAGTTCTAAAGATGATCTCATCTGTAGTTCTAAAGATGATCTCATCTGTAGTTCTAAAGATGACCTCATCTGTAGTTCTAAAGATGACCTCATCTGTAGTTCTAAAGATGACCTCATCTGTAGTTCTAAAGATGACCTCATCTGTAGTTCTAAAGATGACCTCATCTGTAGTTCTAACCATGATCTCATCTGTAGTTCTAAAGATGACCTCATCTGTAGTTCTAACCATGATCTCATCTGTAGTTCTAAAGATGATCTCATCTGTAGTTCTAACCATGATCTCATCTGTAGTTCTAACCATGATCTCATCTGTAGTTCTAACCATGATCTCATCTGTAGTTCTAAAGATGACCTCATCTGTAGTTCTAAAGATGACCTCATCTGTAGTTCTAAAGATGACCTCATCTGTAGTTCTAAAGATGACCTCATCTGTAGTTCTAACGATGACCTCATCTGTAGTTCTAACCATGATCTCACCTGTAGTTCTAACCATGATCTCATATGTAGTTCTAAAGATGACCTCATCTGTAGTTCTAAAGATGACCTCATCTGTAGTTCTAAAGATGATCTCATCTGTAGTTCTAAAGATGATCTCATCTGTAGTTCTAACCATGATCTCATCTGTAGTTCTAACCATGACCTCCCCTGTAGTTCTAACAATGACCTCCCCTGTAGTTCTAACGATGACCTCATCTGTAGTTCTAAAGATGATCTCATCTGTAGTTCTAACCATGACCTCATCTGTAGTTCTAAAGATGATCTCATCTGTAGTTCTAAAGATGATCTCATCTGTAGTTCTAACCTTGACCTCCCCTGTAGTTCTAACCATGACCTCCCCTGTAGTGCTAACCATGACCTCCCCTGTAGTTCTAACGATGACCTCATCTGTAGTTCTAACGATGACCTCATCTGTAGTTCTAACGATGACCTCATCTGTAGTTCTAACCATGATCTCATATGTAGTTCTAAAGATGACCTCATCTGTAGTTCTAAAGATGACCTCATCTGTAGTTCTAAAGATGACCTCATCTGTAGTTCTAAAGATGACCTCATCTGTAGTTCTAACCATGATCTCATCTGTAGTTCTAAAGATGACCTCATCTGTAGTTCTAACCATGATCTCATCTGTAGTTCTAAAGATGATCTCATCTGTAGTTCTAACCATGATCTCATCTGTAGTTCTAACCATGATCTCATCTGTAGTTCTAACCATGATCTCATCTGTAGTTCTAAAGATGACCTCACCTGTAGTTCTAAAGATGACCTCATCTGTAGTTCTAAAGATGACCTCATCTGTAGTTCTAACCATGATCTCATCTGTAGTTCTAAAGATGATCTCATCTGTAGTTCTAACCATGATCTCATCTGTAGTTCTAAAGATGATCTCACCTGTAGTTCTAACGATGACCTCATCTGTAGTTCTAAAGATGACCTCATCTGTAGTTCTAACCATGACCTCATCTGTAGTTCTAATGGTGACCTCATATGTAGTTCTAAAGATGACCTCATCTGTAGTTCTAACCATGATCTCATCTGTAGTTCTAACCATGACCTCATCTGTAGTTCTAACCATGACCTCATCTGTAGTTCTAAAGATGATCTCATCTGTAGTTCTAAAGATGATCTCATCTGTAGTTCTAACCTTGACCTCCCCTGTAGTTCTAAAGATGATCTCATCTGTAGTTCTAACCTTGACCTCCCCTGTAGTTCTAACCATGACCTCCCCTGTAGTGCTAACCATGACCTCCCCTGTAGTTCTAACGATGACCTCATCTGTAGTTCTAAAGATGATCTCATCTGTAGTTCTAAAGATGACCTCATCTGTAGTTCTAACCATGATCTCATCTGTAGTTCTAACCATGATCTCATCTGTAGTTCTAACCATGATCTCATCTGTAGTTCTAACCATGATCTCATCTGTAGTTCTAAAGATGACCTCATCTGTAGTTCTAAAGATGACCTCATCTGTAGTTCTAACCATGATCTCATCTGTAGTTCTAAAGATGATCTCATCTGTAGTTCTAACCATGATCTCATCTGTAGTTCTAAAGATGATCTCACCTGTAGTTCTAACGATGACCTCATCTGTAGTTCTAAAGATGACCTCATCTGTAGTTCTAACCATGACCTCATCTGTAGTTCTAATGGTGACCTCATATGTAGTTCTAAAGATGACCTCATCTGTAGTTCTAACCATGATCTCATATGTAGTTCTAACCATGACCTCATCTGTAGTTCTAACCATGACCTCATCTGTAGTTCTAAAGATGACCTCATCTGTAGTTCTAAAGATGACCTCATCTGTAGTTCTAACCATAATCTCATCTGTAGTTCTAACCATGATCTCATCTGTAGTTCTAACCATGATCTCATCTGTAGTTCTAACGATGACCTCATCTGTAGTTCTAACGATGACCTCATCTGTAGTTCTAACGATGACCTCATCTGTAGTTCTAACCATGACCTCATCTGTAGTTCTAATGATGACCTCATCTGTAGTTCTAAAGATTACCTCATCTGTAGTTCTAACCATGATCTCATCTGTAGTTCTAACCATGACCTCATCTGTAGTTCTAACCATGACCTCATCTGTAGTTCTAACCATGACCTCATCTGTAGTTCTAAAGATGACCTCATCTGTAGTTCTAACCATGATCTCATCTGTAGTTCTAACCATGACCTCATCTGTAGTTCTAACCATGATCTCATCTGTAGTTCTAACCATGATCTCATCTGTAGTTCTAACCATGACCTCATCTGTAGTTCTAACCATGACCTCATCTTTAGTTCTAACCATGACCTCATCTGTAGTTCTAATGATGACTTCACCTGTATATCAGGACCTCACCTGTATACCACGACTTCACCTGTAGATTAGCGACTCACCTGCAGTTCAGCGATGGTGACCTTGTGGTAGATCTTCTCCTCGTCTCGCCGCTGGTCCTGAGGGACAGTGATGTTGGCGAGCGCCGTCTCAAACTCCAGGATCTGCTGCATCTGGATCAGGGTGGAGTTCTTTTCTCCGCCTAGCAACAGGCCCAACTCCACCATGTAGTCCAGGTACGCCACCAGCACCTGGAGGGGGTCATGAGGATTCAAGGTTCAAAGGTTTTATTGTCTGTTGGGGAAACACTGAATGTCCTCTTCCAACATGAGAGTCACATGATAACAAAGGTATCCCAACTGTAGCTGTTTTAGGCATATGATAGCTATGTGATTAACATGATGATTCAGCCTCTATGGAGATAGACACATGACAAGCATGATCATTTCTGAATTTTGAGAAAAAGTCAGAATTTTGAGAAAAAGTCAGAAATTAGAAATTGAGGAAAAAGTCAGAATTGTTGCGATTTTTTGAAAAAAATCTGAATGTTGAGGAAAAAGTCAGAATTTGATATTTAAAGGGGACCTATCATGCAAAATGCACTTTTGTACATCTTTTATATATGAATATGTGTCTCCGGTGTGTCAGGGAACTCACCAAGTGTCAGAAAACACAACCCTCTCTATTTTCCTCCATACCCAAATCTCTAAAAACGGGGCTGCAACGGATCTGATAAAAACTGATCCAGATTTGAAATTGTTCTGACGTCAGAAACAGAGTGGCCTCTATGGCCAACTCTCCACCTATCAGGGGAATGTGGGGTTGGGCCACGGCCATTGCCGCTCGAAAGCGCTGGAGACGCTGTAGTACATATGCCAGGCCTGTAAGTGGCGCTGTAGTCTGCCACAAAAGCAGCGAAGAAGACTTCTCACAGAATCAGCCCTTGCAAAAACAGGGCTGGAAAAGAGCAAATAGAGCGAAATGAGGCATGGCTAAAATGCATGATCTGTTTGGTATTTTGAAAAAAAAACTTCACAGACATGTTTTATATAGGTATGGCCCTACAATATATTATTCAAATATAGGTCCACTTTAAGGAAAAAGTCAGAATTTGGAGATTTTTGAGAAAAAGTCAGAAATTTGAAATTGAGGAAAAAGTCAGAATTGTTGAGATTTTTTGAAAAAAGTCTGAATGTTGAGGAAAAAGTCAGAATTTGGAGACTTTGGAGAAAAAGTCAGAATTTGAAGATTTTTTGAAAAAGTCAGAATTTTGAGACTTTGGAGAAAAAGTCAGAATTTGATATTTAAGGAAAAAGTCAGAATTTTGAAATTTTGAGAAAAAGTCAGAATTTTGAGAAAAAGTCTGAATGTTGAGATTGTTTGAGGCATATGATAGCCATGTGATCAACATGATGATTCAGCATCTATGGAGATAGACATATGACAAGCATGCTCATTTCTGACGTGGAGCTAATCTGAAGTAAACATTGAATACTGCTTTCTATTCCTCCATCTTGTGACTGTGTAACTCCCTCTCTTGGATATCAGCATGTGAAGGACACTGTTCAGGAACTAGTTGATGCTCTGTATGTGATGACTCCTTCCATTCTAGAGAGGATCACAGATACATGGATCCTGAGATTGAAGCTCAAGCCCGTGACATTTTCCTAACATTGTCATATGCACAAAGCCACAGTGTAGAAATGGCAATGAAATTGAAATAGAGCTTCTCCATCACAAGATGAACTCCACCTGAGTTTATATGGTCAGCTGCAGGGAGTCTTACCTTCTCATTGGCAGTCTTGTTGAGGTAATAATCTCTGGACGGCAGGAAGAGCCCTGATTGGTCCACCTGTGTAGAGCAGGGTTAAAGGTGAGCCAATCACAGCCACAGATATCTAACTTTCAACCCGGACTACCTGCCCTCCGACAAGAACATTTAAAATATAGAACAAAACCCAAAATATTAGCTTTATAACGCAAATTCTCTTCACTGCATTTCCTTAATGTGTTTCTTTCCTGTGTTTCTATATGTCTTGCTGATTGCTTTCTAAACAAATCAAATGTAGTACTTCTTTACCTCCATGAGGTGTGGTTCTGGTTTAATCTGGTTCTGGTTTAATCTGGTTCTGGTTCAATCTGGTTCTGGTTCAATCTGGTTCTGGTTAAATCTGGTTCTGGTTAAATCTGGTTCTGGTTAAATCTGTTTCAATGTGGTTCTGGTTTAATCTGGTTCTGGTTCAATCTGGTTCAATAGAGCGGTGCAGTGATGACGTATTTTTGTAGTTCGACCCTGAAGGAAGCTGCTGGTTCCCTCGACAAAAAGCAACGGGATTTCTCCACAGGATTTTGGAATATTGTAAAAAATAAGGTCTGTGGAAAACCAACCTGTTTGATAAATGCACGTTTTGTTCAGCCGGATAATCTCCACATGTCTACCCTACTTTTATAATTTTCGAATCATAAATCTAATCGCAGAAGCAAAATGCTAACATTATGCTATAAAGGAACTACAGCCGAGTCCAGCAGCACGACTTCAACGTCACGCCAACTTAAAGGTGGGGTAGGTAAGTTTGAGAAACCGGCTCGAGATACACTTGTTGTTATATTCCATGGAATGCTCTTAACATCCAGATAGCAATGAATATCTGAAGTGCTTTGACAAAATATCCATAAAAAAAATCATCTGTGGAAGCTGTAGTACTGTAAAAAGCACGACCAATCATCTGAGCCGGCCCGGCTAAAATAACTGGATGGCCTACCTGCCTGTCAGCCTTCCATCTGGGCACAAACTTATCTCGTGCCCTCATTGGTCATGTGCGCGTTCGTGTGTGTTGGAGGAGGGGCTCTGTGAGGAAGTGGCAGATTTCTTCGGGCTGTGTATTTTCAAATTCTAGCGATCTCGAGCTGGTTTCTCCAAAATTACCTACCCTACCTTTAAGATCCATATTCAAACATACAGATTCTAAATGGAACGAGTTGAAGCGTTTGTTTGAACAGTCTGCAGGAGGCAGGGACTTGCTTTCAAGCAGAACAGGGCAAACAAACTTAGAGGAGTGTTCACGTGTTCGGTGTAATGACGTACAACGACCTCCACGACTTCTGTAGTCCTATTCAGCCACCGTGATCCGTCTCTTCAATGTGTCTCAACCACAGACCTTATTTACAGATACTTTCCTAAATCCTATGGAGAGATCCCATTGGCTCTGAGACCAGGGAACAGGAAGTGGTGACATGCCAACTCACTTCCTGGTTTTAGGACTCGTCACTGCACCACTCTACATGGTCCTGGTTCTGGTTTACCTGGATGACGTTGCTGTTGGAGTGTTTGGGGTCTGCGCTGACTCCGACGCTGAAGAAAGGCTGTGCTCTGTAGGGGCCAGAAACCACCTTCAGGACCTCCATGAAGTTGTCTTTATCCCAGGGGCCCGTCATGTTCCAGCCCCCGATCTGCAGGAAGCCGGAGCGTTTACATTCAATTACAGAACGTGGACTGGATCCCCACAAAACACATACGCCTGTTGGCAGATGACGCTCTGCTTTGCACTTTAAAATGCTCAAATGAGTGAAAAATAAAAGGTGATCTTCTATCACGATATATGTCTTTCTGATCTTCACATAAGTTACACTTATCAACAAACACACTCCGTTTGAACTCATAGCACACACGTTATTATGTTATTCTCCATATTGAACACATCAAACATTCACAGTGTCCCCAGACTTCAACTAAAGCAGAATGAGTTAGGAGATGGTAACCCTCATTTTAAAACAGTGGAACAAGATTAGAAGTGTTGTTCGAGTTACTTTGACTTAATATTCACTGAAATTTGATTTGGTGTGGGGATGTTTGTCTACACTGGTGTCTTAGCTGAAGATCAGATAACATTTGATGGCCAATTCAACCCAGGAAACTCTAACTTGGAGCTTAACCCTTGAGCATAACCCGGTCCGGAGCATATCTGCAGCAGGTGGTCTATCCAGGTTCAAAGTACAGGAAACTCTGTATGCTGGATATCACCTGGCTAACCCTCTAATCTGGCTCCCTAGTGAACCCCTCAGGTGTGTGGTTACCTTGGCGATGAGGTCTACGAGCGGCTGGGCCCCCAGCTCCTCGATCCTCTGCGTGTTGAGGCAGGACAGGTAGTAGGACTGGGTCTTCCTCTCGGCTTCACTGCTGCCGTTAAACGTCCCGTTCTCTGCGGGGACACCACGACTCACGTTAGCCACGCCTACAGCTCGTTAACTCACGTTACCCATGGTTACATCTCGTTAACAATCTCGTTAACTCACGTTACATCTTGTTAACTCACAATACCCACGGTTACAGCTCGTTGACTAACGTTACCCACAGTTTGAGGGCCTGGTTCCCCCCCCCCTCACCCAGCAGGTGTTTGAGCAGGGCCTGGTTCTCCCCCCCTGCCCCCCCCCCCCCTCACCCAGCAGGTGTTTGAGCAGGGCCTGGTTCTCCCCCCCTGCCCCCCCCCCCCCCTCACCCAGCAGGTGTTTGAGCAGGGCCTGGTTCTCCCCCCCTCACCCAGTAGGTGTTTGAGCAGCGCCTGGTTCTCCCCCCCTGCCCCCCCCCCCTCACCCAGCAGGTGTTTGAGCAGCGCCTGGTTCTCCCCCCTGCCCCCCCCCCCTCACCCAGCAGGTGTTTGAGCAGCGCCTGGTTTGATTGATTGATTGATTGAAAAGTTTATTAACAGCTTGTATATTGGGTACAGTACAGTACAGCTCAAAACATACAATTGTTAAGGGGATGCAGACCAGAGAAAGACTTTCGTCTTGTTTACATCAGGGTCCCCCATTTCCAATTCATCATATCATCATATTCTCCCCCCCTGCCCCCCCCCCCCTCACCCAGCAGGTGTTTTAGCAGCGCCTGGTTCTCCCCCCCCTGCCCCCCCCCCTCACCCAGCAGGTGTTTGAGCAGGGCCTGGTTCTCCCCCCCTGCCCAGCAGGTGTTTGAGCAGGGCCTGGTTCTCCCCCCCCCCCCCCCCCCCTCACCCAGCAGGTGTTTGAGCAGGGCCTGGTTCTCCCCCCCTGCCCAGCAGGTGTTTGAGCAGGGCCTGGTTCTCCCCCCCTGCCCCCCCCCCTCACCCAGCAGGTGTTTGAGCAGGGCCTGGTTCTCCCCCCCTGCCCCCCCCCCCCTCACCCAGTAGGTGTTTGAGCAGCGCCTGGTTCTCCCCCCCTGACCCCCCACCTCACCCAGCAGGTGTTTGAGCAGCGCCTGGTTCTCCCCCCCCCCCTCACCCAGCAGGTGTTTGAGCAGGGCCTGGTTCTCCCCCCCTGCCCCCCCCCCTCACCCAGCAGGTGTTTGAGCAGGGCCTGGTTCTCCCCCCCTGCCCCCCCCCCCTCACCCAGCAGGTGTTTGAGCAGCGCCTGGTTCTCCCCCCCTGCCCCCCCCCCCCCTCACCCAGCAGGTGTTTGAGCAGCGCCTGGTTCTCCCCCCCTGCCCCCCCCCCCCTCACCCAGCAGGTGTTTGAGCAGGGCCTGGTTCTGCTCCCAGATGCTGTTGAAGGTGGACCACCTGGAGCGCCCGTCGGGCAGCGGGTTCTTCTTCACCCAGCCTCCACAGGAGAACTGGTAGAAGTCAGAGCAGGGGTCCACGCTGCGGTCCATGGCCTCGCCCATCTGAGCCGCCACGGAGACGCAGGCCTCCGTCAGGCACAGGCCCCGCCCACCGTCTGAGGGGGGAGGAGTTACAGATTTATTAAAAGTAAATAAGAAGAATTATAAAGATTACAGACCAATTTTTTTTGTGATTTATTTCGAACGTGTAAAACAATAATACAAAAAATAATAATAATAATGAAATGAAACAAGGGAATTATGATACTGTACAAACTTAAGCAGTATCAAATTGATAAACACAAATATTATTGACTTACAAATGATATATAAACAAATGATCTATTACACATCTGAAAAGGGGGTTACCTTGGTTGCTGATTGGCTAATGGTTACACAAGACAACACATCGTGATGACATCATCAAGTGGCTAAAATCTGATCAGCTCATTTTCAGACAGGTTTTTATAAAAATGGATCAAAAAGAGAGAGAATCTTTGTTCCTGAAACTTTCAGAGTCTCTTTCCACAGAGGGGACACATGGTGATGAAGAAGAGACATGAAGAAGAGGGGACACATGTTGATGAAGAAGAGACATGAAGAAGAGGGGACACATGTTGATGAAGAAGAGACATGAAGAAGAGGGGACACATGTTGATGTAGAAGAGACATGAAGAAGAGGGGACACATGTTGATGAAGAAGAGACATGAAGAAGAGGGGACACATGGTGATGTAGAAGAGACATGAAGAAGAGGGGACACATGTTGATGTAAGAAGAGACATGAAGAAGAGGGGACACATGTTGATGAAGAAGAGACATGAAGAAGAGGGGACACATGTTGATGTAGAAGAGACATGAAGAAGAGGGGACACATGTTGATGAAGAAGAGACATGAAGAAGAGGGGACACATGTTGATGAAGAAGAGACATGAAGAAGAGGGGACACATGTTGATGAAGAAGAGACATGAAGAAGAGGGGACACATGTTGATGAAGAAGAGACATGAAGAAGAGGGGACACATGTTGATGTAGAAGAGACATGAAGAAGAGGGGACACATGTTGATGTAGAAGAGACATGAAGAAGAGGGGACACATGTTGATGAAGAAGAGACATGAAGAAGAGGGGACACATGTTGATGTAGAAGAGACATGAAGAAGAGGGGACACATGTTGATGTAGAAGAGACATGAAGAAGAGGGGACACATGTTGATGAAGAAGAGACATGAAGAAGAGGGGACACATGTTGATGAAGAAGAGACATGAAGAAGAGGGGACACATGTTGATGAAGAAGAGACATGAAGAAGAGGGGACACATGTTGATGAAGAAGAGACATGAGGAAGAGGGGACACATGTTGATGAAGAAGAGACATGAAGAAGAGGGGACACATGTTGATGTAGAAGAGACATGAAGAAGAGGGGACACATGTTGATGAAGAAGAGACATGAAGAAGAGGGGACACATGTTGATGAAGAAGAGACATGAAGAAGAGGGGACACATGTTGATGAAGAAGAGACATGAAGAAGAGGGGACACATGTTGATGAAGAAGAGACATGAAGAAGAGGGGACACATGTTGATGAAGAAGAGACATGAAGAAGAGGGGACACATGTTGATGAAGAAGAGACATGAAGAAGAGGGGACACATGTTGATGAAGAAGAGACATGAAGAAGAGGGGACACATGTTGATGAAGAAGAGTCATGAAGAAGAGGGGACACATGTTGATGTAGAAGAGACATGAGGAAGAGGGGACACATGTTGATGTAGAAGAGACATGAAGAAGAGGGGACACATGTTGATGAAGAAGAGACATGAAGAAGAGGGGACACATGTTGATGAAGAAGAGACATGAAGAAGAGGGGACACATGTTGATGAAGAAGAGACATGAGGAAGAGGGGACACATGTTGATGTAGAAGAGACATGAAGAAGAGGGGACACATGTTGATGTAGAAGAGACATGAAGAAGAGGGGACACATGTTGATGAAGAAGAGACATGAAGAAGAGGGGACACATGTTGATGAAGAAGAGACATGAAGAAGAGGGGACACATGTTGATGAAGAAGAGACATGAGGAAGAGGGGACACATGTTGATGTAGAAGAGACATGAAGAAGAGGGGACACATGTTGATGTAGAAGAGACATGAAGAAGAGGGGACACATGTTGATGTAGAAGAGACATGAAGAAGAGGGGACACATGTTGATGAAGAAGAGACATGAAGAAGAGGGGACACATGTTGATGAAGAAGAGACATGAAGAAGAGGGGACACATGTTTGATGAAGAAGAGACATGAAGAAGAGGGGACACATGTTGATGAAGAAGAGACATGAAGAAGAGGGGACACATGTTGATGAAGAAGAGACATGAAGAAGAGGGGACACATGTTGATGAAGAAGAGACATGAAGAAGAGGGGACACATGTTGATGAAGAAGAGACATGAAGAAGAGGGGACACATGTTGATGAAGAAGAGACATGAAGAAGAGGGGACACATGTTGATGAAGAAGAGACATGAAGAAGAGGGGACACATGTTGATGAAGAAGAGACATGAAGAAGAGGGGACACATGTTGATGTAGAAGAGACATGAAGAAGAGGGGACACATGTTGATGTAGAAGAGACATGAAGAAGAGGGGACACATGTTGATGTAGAAGAGACATGAAGAAGAGGGGACACATGGTGATGTAGAAGAGACATGAAGAAGAGGGGACACATGTTGATGAAGAAGAGACATGAAGAAGAGGGGACACATGTTGATGAAGAAGAGACATGAGGAAGAGGGGACACATGTTGATGAAGAAGAGACATGAAGAAGAGGGGACACATGTTGATGAAGAAGAGACATGAAGAAGAGGGGACACATGGTGATGAAGAAGAGACATGAAGAAGAGGGGACACATGTTGATGTAGAAGAGACATGAAGAAGAGGGGACACATGTTGATGTAGAAGAGACATGAAGAAGAGGGGACACATGTTGATGTAGAAGAGACATGAAGAAGAGACATGTTGATGTAGAAGAGACATGAAGAAGAGGGGACACATGTTGATGTAGAAGAGACATGAAGAAGAGGGGACACATGGTGATGTAGAAGAGACATGAAGAAGAGGGGACACATGTTGATGAAGAAGAGACATGAAGAAGAGACATGTTGATGTAGAAGAGACATGAAGAAGAGGGGACACATGTTGATGTAGAAGAGACATGAAGAAGAGGGGACACATGGTGATGTAGAAGAGACATGAAGAAGAGGGGACACATGTTGATGAAGAAGAGACATGAAGAAGAGGGGACACATGGTGATGAAGAAGAGACATGAAGAAGAGGGGACACATGTTGATGTAGAAGAGACATGAAGAAGAGGGGACACATGTTGATGTAGAAGAGACATGAAGAAGAGGGGACACATGTTGATGAAGAAGAGACATGAAGAAGAGGGGACACATGTTGATGTAGAAGAGACATGAAGAAGAGGGGACACATGTTGATGAAGAAGAGACATGAAGAAGAGGGGACACATGTTGATGTAGAAGAGACATGAAGAAGAGGGGACACATGTTGATGTAGAAGAGACATGAAGAAGAGGGGACACATGTTGATGAAGAAGAGACATGAAGAAGAGGGGACACATGTTGATGTAGAAGAGACATGAAGAAGAGGGGACACATGTTGATGAAGAAGAGACATGAAGAAGAGGGGACACATGGTGATGTAGAAGAGACATGAGGAAGAGGGGACACATGTTGATGAAGAAGAGACATGAAGAAGAGGGGACACATGTTGATGAAGAAGAGACATGAAGAAGAGGGGACACATGTTGATGTAGAAGAGACATGAAGAAGAGGGGACACATGTTGATGTAGAAGAGACATGAAGAAGAGGGGACACATGTTGATGAAGAAGAGACATGAAGAAGAGGGGACACATGTTGATGTAGAAGAGACATGAAGAAGAGGGGACACATGTTGATGAAGAAGAGACATGAAGAAGAGGGGACACATGTTGATGTAGAAGAGACATGAAGAAGAGGGGACACATGTTCATGAAGAAGAGACATGAAGAAGAGGGGACACATGTTGATGTAGAAGAGACATGAAGAAGAGGGGACACATGTTGATCTAGAAGAGACATGAAGAAGAGGGGACACATGTTGATGTAGAAGAGACATGAAGAAGAGGGGACACATGTTGATCTAGAAGAGACATGAAGAAGAGGGGACACATGTTGATGAAGAAGAGACATGAAGAAGAGGGGACACATGTTGATGTAGAAGAGACATGAAGAAGAGGGGACACATGTTGATGTAGAAGAGACATGAAGAAGAGGGGACACATGTTGATGTAGAAGAGACATGAAGAAGAGGGGACACATGTTGATGTAGAAGAGACATGATGACCAGTGTGGGGGGGTACCTGAGCTGAAGCCCAGCCCCAGCAGCAGCAGGCAGGCCAGCAGAGCCAGCAGGGAAACCAGCAGCAGAACCGACAGCAGAACCTCCAGCTGGGTCCTCCGGCCCAGCAGGTCCACACCGCCCTTCCTGAAGCCCACCTGCCAATGAGAGACACACTTTAATAACATGTCACGTACTTTAATATCCCATCAATAATAATCCATCATGCAGTCCCACAGAGAGAGAAGAAGACAGACAGGAAGTCAACACTAAAGGGAACAGCAGAAGAAGACGGACAGGAAGTAAACACTAAAGGGAACAGCAGAAGAAGACAGACAGGAAGTAAACACTAAAGGGAACAGCAGAAGAAGACAAACAGGAAGTAAACACTAAAGGGAACAGCAGA